GGAAATACTGGGTGTTAGGGGCAGGCACCTTTCCAACTTAGCAGTACCTTGCTGAGTTACTCCATGATAATATTATCAATTTATACTCCCACTAGTAGTGTGTAAGATTCCCAGTTCCCAATTTCCCAATACCAACATTTGCTATTATCAGATATTTTAATTTTTGCCAATCCTGTATACATAAGATTACGTTTTGTTTTACCTTTGTTTTTGTTGATAACACGTATCATTTTTCCCAATAGAAATTTGATGTCTTCTTTCCACCCTGGGAATGGACATAATGATAGTTGGAGGACTGTGTTTTATACCAATGAAGAGTGAAAATTTTAGACCCAACCCCTAAGGACCTAGAGGAGTCCATAGTACAGGAAGAAGAGAAGAAGTTGACCTCTGACGGAAACAAAGGTATCAATGGGCTTCCTGTTGTCTGTCATTCTCTGTACTGCCATCTGTTAACCACCAGTGATGTGGGAGATACTTTATTAGCAAGTATTTCTAGAAGCATAAGACCTAATTGGAGCTTGCATTTTCTTTGTGGGACTTAAAACATAAAGGCTTGACAAATTATTTAATAAATGTTATAAGAAATAAATATCTGTCTAGTCCAATGGCTCAAAATTTTGGGGGAGGTAGAACACTTGGAAGTCATGATCCTCTTTATGGAAATATTGATTTTAACTTTACAGAAATTTGAAATGTGCACAAAAGAGGAGATATAGTCTTAAGAATTCTTGTGTACCCATCATCCAGCTTCCACACTTTCAGCTTCTTTTTTTCCCTCTCCACCTCTGAGCTCCTACTCCTCCCTGCACCCACTGTCGCTGGATTATTTTAAATTTTAGACATTAATCCATTGCATCAGCAAATGCTTTAGTATGGATCTTTAAGAGATAATGACTCTTTTTGTTCTATTTTATTTTATTTATTTATTTATTTTGAGGCGGAGTCTTGCTCTGTCACCCAGGCTGGAGAGCAGTGGCACGATCTCAGCTCACTACAACTTCTGCTTCCCATGATTCTCCTGCCTCAGCCTTCTGAGTAGCTGAGACTACAGGCATGTGCCACTACACCTGGCTAATTTTTATATTTTCAGTAGAGACAAGGTTTCACCATCTTGGCCAGGCTGGTCTCGAACTCCTGACCTCAAGTAATCCACCCACCTCAGCCTCCCAAAGTGCTGGAATTACAGGCATGAGCCACGTGCCTGGCCGATAATGACTTTTTTTAATTTTGAGACAGAGTTTTGCTCTTGTTGCCCAGGCTGGAATGCAATGGCATGATCTTGGCTCACTACAACCTCTACCTCCTGGTCAATTTTCAAGCAATTTTCTTGCCTCAGCCTCCCAAAGTAGCTGGTATTATAGGCATGCACCACCACGCCCAACTAATTTTTGGATTTTTAGTAGAGGGGTTTTTCCATGTTGGTCAAGCTGGTCTTGAACTCGCGACCTCAGGTAATCTGCTTGCCTCAGCCTCCCAAAGTGCTGGGAGTATAGACATGAGCCACCATGCCTCTTTTTAAAAAATTATGATCATAAGCCAGATGTGGTGGCTCACGCCTGTAATCCCAGCACTTTGGGAGGCCGAGGTGGGCAGATCACTTAAGATCTGTGAAACAGTGCTTATTTTCTTCATAGGTGTTGTAAGGCTTATCGGCAGTAATCCAAGTAAAGTTCTCCCTCACACAGTGCCTGGCTCCTCATAGGGTCTTCACTGTTAGGTGTTACTATTGCTGTGGTCATCATCATCATTCTAGAGAAAGTATCCTTAATATAAGTGATCATGGCTGGGTGTGGTGGCTCATGCCTGTAATCCCAGCACTTTGGGAGACCGAGGCGGGTGGATCACAAGGTCAGGAGTTCGAGACCAGTCTGGGCAACATGATGAAACCCTGTCTCTACTAAAAATACAAAATTAGCCAGGTGTGGTGGCACACGTGCCTGTAATCTTAGCTACTCTGGAGGCTGAGGCAGGAGAATCTCTTGAACCTGGGAGACAGAGGTTGCAGTGACCCAAGATCCCGCCATTGCACTCCAGCCTGGGCAACAGAGTGAGACTCCATCTCAAAAAAAAAAAAAAGAAGAAGATTTGTCATTAGAAAACTGATCAAATTAAGATTGATAATTCAGAACAACATTGAATTTTTGTTATTTTAGTAATATTATATGACTGTGGTATTTTGGGAAATTGTTCATTTAATTCTTTCCATATCAGGCGAATTTAGAGTTTATGGCCTGGTTCTGTGTGTAATCTGATTCTTCAGATTCCCAGTGCACAGTTTTTGCTTGTCTGTAGATGGTGTTGTTATTACGACACACATGAAACTTGAGGGATAAATAGGGTAAGGTCCGTTGGAGTCACTGTAGCTATTAATTCAAGTAGGATCTTTCCAGACGAGTTTATTATAGATAGTATTTGATATTGAATCTTTATTAAAAATTGTTTTAATTGTTAATAGACATTGTGAACTGTCACCATGTATTCAGTTGGTTACCTTTTGCCCTCATTTATTCCATTACAGCAACCAGCGTTCTGTTCTTCAAACATACAAGGCATGCTCCTATCTCGGTAACCTTTACAATGGCTGTTCCCTCTATCTGGAATGCATTCTCCAGGGAGTCATACATAACTGCCTTCCTGTCTTCCTTCAGATCTTTGTGCAAATGTCATATTAGTGAAATCTTTCCTGAGTTCCCTAGTTAAAATTGCAACTTTTAAATCTCCTACTTCCTGTCCCTCTTTTTACTTAATTTTCTCCTTAGCAACTATCACTTTGTGGCGGGCCCTGTATTTTACTGCCTCATTGTCTTTCTCCCCTTTCCTAGAGTATTAGTTTCATGAAAGTAGGGACTTTATCCACCTGGTTGCCTGATGAATACATTATACCTAAAACAGTACCTGGAGTAAAGCAGATACTAAACTATTTGAATGAATGAAAAAAAAACAGGAATGAGTGAGTGAATGAATAAAAATATAAATGGTTGAAAACATGTATGAATAAATACATAGATGAAAAATACTCTAAGGCTGGCACAGTGGCTCAGACCTGTAATCTCAGAACTTTGGGAGGCCAAGGCAGGCGGATTACGAGTCAGGAGTTTGAGACCAGCCTGGCCGATATGGTGAAACCCTGTCTCTACTAAAAATACCAAAATTATCTGGGTGTGGTGGCACATGCCTGTAGTCCCAGCTACTGAGGAGGCTGAGACAAGAGAATTGCTTGAACCTGGGAGGCAGAGGTTGCAGTGAGCCGAGATCGTGCCATGGCCTTACAGCCTGGATGACAGAGCAAGACTCCATCTCAAAAANAAAAAAAAAAAAAAAAGGAAAAATACTCTGATAGTAACCTGTATTTTTGTGCAGTGGAAATAAGATAACCCGTTAAAAAACTGATTTTTTAGATATGGATAATGTTTTGATTATCTGCCTGGCAATATTTAAGTTAAGTTGGCATCCAATGTTATTTAGCTACAATAATGTTTGGAGTGCTGTAAAATTTGTAATCAAATATATTTGTTACTTTTTTAAAAGTTTATTATCTATGAGAAAAGAATAGTTTTCAAATTTTGATAGAGTTAAGCAATACAAGGGACAGATTTTTTTTTTTTTTTTTTTTTAAAAAACGCAGAGCCTTGCTCAGTTGACCATGCTGGATGGAGTAGTGCAGTGGTGCAATCGTGGCTCACTATAGCCTCAACCTCCTGGGCTCAAGAACTCCTCCCATCTCAGCCTCCTGTGTAGCTGGGACCACAGGCATACCAACACGTCTGGCTTATTTATTTTTATTTTTTTAGTGGAGACAGAGTCTCCCTGTGTTGCCCAGGATGGTCTCAAACTCCTGGGCTCAAGCAAATACTCCTGCCTTAGCCTCTCAAAGGCCTGTCAATCCTGGGATTATAGGCATGAGCCACCACATCTGGCTGAGAGATCTTAGTTCTTTCTGGTAATGTATCAAGTATCCCTTTATCACCCCAATAATGTTTATGCATTCTGGCTAGATTTATAGTGATGAGAGCTCTTTTTTTTACACATAAATCCTAGAGGTATATGAAGTCTGACTTTCAAATCAATAGAGTAACTAAAATATTTTAGAGCCACTTAAATAGATGACTACACTGGTAGGTGTGAGACTCGTCAGTCTGTCAGAGGCATAGTAACTGTATATTGGAGAAATTGGAACCACTTTATCTCTGGATGGCGCTGGGCTGCTGCTTACCTGCTAAGTTTGAGTTTCAGTGCAGTTAATAGATTTGGAATTTGGAAGAAAGCTTAGCTTTTCTCATTGAAAACTTTAAAAGGCAGATGGTCTGACTCCTCCAGACACCTCAACCCACACCAGCATTACATACAATCTACACACGTATGGGCACAACCTAGATATGGTTCTACCCAAAGTCTGAGGTAAAAAATTAATTGTACTCTACAAGATACCAAGCATAGTAAAGCTACTAGCTTGTGACTTTCTGAGGACCTGCTTGGTTCTGAGTTTTCTTCTCCTTTTTGAGTGTGGAGATTATGGTTTCACAGTAGGGCAATTCATCTAACAATAACTGCTTTGCCAAAATCTGCTTTTTTGTATTGGACAAGTGCTGCACTTACTTTATTCTATACTTTGTGCTGTGTTCATCACTTTTATCTTTGTATTCTTTGCATCTGTAGCATGTTTGGTGGTGTTTTGTTTTCTCTTTGATATTTTGACCAATTGACATATTGTAGATTTTCTCATCCATAAGAAACTGTTTTTTAAAAGTTTATGTTTCATGCCTTTTTCTTTCCAACTTAATGCATTAAGCATCACCTTAAAATTATTTTGCTTCCAGGATACTAACATATTTTCATCTTTTGGTTTCTGCTTTTTGGTAAATTCTCAACTTTGTATTAAAATATTCAAATTTACAGAAGCTATAGCCCTTATCTTGTACTTCCAGCAAATATTACAGTTTGTTGTTTTTCAACAGCTTTGCAAAGGCTGAAAAATTTTCCTCATACTTCTCTCAAAGCCAAGTTGCTTCAAACCTCATCAACAAAAAGAGGTACATACAGCCTCTTACTAAGTTTAAAGTTTCATTAGATGATCTAGTTCAATCTTAAGCCTTTTGACATACTGAGTCAGGGGTGTCTGTAAGGCACGTTTTGGTCTTTTTTTTAAAAAAAAATAATAAAATAATGAAGATTTATTCTGTTATTTGAGTAAATCCAGAAGAAACATTTTCTACAGAGGTATGTATTGGGTTGCTTTTCTGAAAGGAGTAAGTGATATATAGAGAATTTATTTTTGTTGCTCACTTAAAGCCAAATGTAATTATTTCAATTTTATGCCAATTGAACTTAATAAGTGCTTTAAAATGAACTTTATATATACATTATAATGGACTCAAGCAAGCATTTTTTGACTGATTTCATAGAAGTAGAATTTCTAGAGGTAAATATTATAAAACAGTTTTAGGGATTTTAATAGACATTTTCAAATTATCCTGCAGGAAAATTGGTTCAGTTTATACTCCCACCAACAATAAAAGATCTCCAGTTTCCTCCTTCCATTTGTCATCTTAGTGGTCTTTAAGCAGAAAATATTGTTTTCATTACATTTCTTTGGCTTCTAATGCTTTTGAATCTTTTTTATGTGCTTATTGGCCATTTTTATTTTTGTGGGAAGTGCCTATTTCTCCATTGCCTCCTTTCTTTGGAAATCATTTGTTTTTTTTCTGAGTAATTTTATAAAACTATAAAATAATTTTATCTTTTTTTTTAACATTTGTCTTTTTCTGAGTAATTTTAAAGATTTCTTCATAGGCTAAGGATACAAACCTTTTATCTGTCATTGAAGTCACAGAAACTTTCTCTCAGTAAGTAATTTGTCATTTTGCTTTATTTTTTTCTTTAGTGTTTTTTTTTTCTAGCCAAGTGCCAAAGTCACATTTCACTTAATTTTTATCCTGCTGAATGAAAGCATTTTAACTTAGTGTTTTAATGTAAACAGGAGGAGGACAGAATGTAATTATCTAGGTCTTGCGCTGTCACCCAGGCTGGAGTGCAGTGGCATGATCATAGCTACTGTAGCCTCGAACTGCTGGGCTCAAGCAATTTTCCCACCTCAGTCTCCCAAGTAGCTAGGACTACAGGCGTGTGCCACCACACCCTGCTAATTTTTAAATTTTTGTGTAAAGATGTGAATTTGCTATGCTGCCCAGGCTGGTCTTGAACTCCTGACTTCAAGTAATCCTCCCACCTTGGCTTACTGAAGTCCTGGGATTACAGGCCTGAACTACTGTTCCTGGTTCAAAGTTTACTTTTGTTTGCTAGTGGTGTTCTTGATATCTTTTTGTATTTGATGTTTTGATGCTAATGCTAAAGTATTACACTCACCATCTGAGGTTACATGACTTGTGTTTTAATATCAAACAGATGAAACTGTTTAGTTCTGCATCTTTGCAGGTATACAAAATGTACCTACCAGGACTCTGCTTTATATCCATTGAAAGCAAAAACTAATAGAGTAAGACATTGCCTGGCTAGAGGCTTTGAAAGAATGGAGCATTCTGGTTGAATTCTATTGACTTAGAAGTATGAAGATGAAAAAATTTCAAAACTTTAATTTTGTGTTGAATGCAATTCAAAAATATATAGCCAATGATTCCATTTTTTTTTTCTCTAGTAAATTTGGACATTCGGATCTCCTTGGTCTTTTATTACAGAACTCCTAGTGTGCGTGAGACTTACATTGTGAAGATCCTTTTCTAAAACTTAAGATGTAAGAGGATGTAAATGGTATTGTATAAGATCAGGCTGGTTGAGAACCGATATCTGTAAATACACTTTTTAGACTAAATCTCTGATTGCCACTTATTTTCTTATTTAACTCATAAAAATAAAACACAATGAATGGAGGGTGGAAATCGGAAGATTTTTGTCTTTTAATTACATGACATTGTTTCATGTCAAAACAGAACATATTGTATCCCTGGCTTTGGATCTGCAGAAGGAAACACATTTTCTCTACCTGCTGTATGCCAGAGGTTCTTGAATGCCTAGAGGGCTTATTGTAGCATAGATTGCTGGGCCCTACTTCAGAGTTTCTGATTCATCAGGCTGGGGCAGCAGGGGAGTCTGAGAATTTGCATTTATAAAAAGTTCTTAGGTATTGCTGGTTGAGAGACTATATTTTTGAGAACCACTTTTATATACCAACTATAAGTTGTAAAACTCTATGAAAAGCTTAGTTTGGTCTGGGATAAGAAGCACACAGATTATGGAGCAAATCATGCAAGATTCAATTCTTGATCCCAGCCTAGTGTAGAATTCAGATAACAAGCAATACACAGTGATATAACACAATTCTTGGTTTTCGTGATTGCAAGTCATAGCCAAGTACTGAGTGAGAAATTCAGTTTTATTTTCAAGGCTTAGAGATTCCAGGTGATTCTAGAAAAATAGGATTTAGTGATTAACCCCATGAGACTAGGAGTTATTTATGTCCTTTTCCTCTCCCCTATCACTTAACATTTAGCCTTACTTTAGAAGGGCCTTGCATTTGTTTTAAACTGGTAAAGAGCTTTGAGTGCTTATTAAATAGAAAGCTTTGTGTTTTTATTTATTTATTTTACTTATTTTTTTGAGATGATGTCTCACTTTGTTGCCCAGGCTGAGGTGCAGTGGCGTGATCTTGGTTTACTGCAACCCCCGCGTCCTGGGTTCAAGCAATTCTCCTGCCTCAGCCTCCTGAAATTACAGGTGTCCGCCACCATGCTTGGCTAGTTTTTGTATTTTTAGTAGAGGTGGAGTTTCACCATATTGGCCAGGCTGATCTCAAACTCCTGACGTCAGGTCATCTACCCACCTCAGCTTCCCAAAGTGCTGGGATTACAGGCATGAGCCACCATCCTTGGCCCAAAAGCTTTGTGTTTTTAAAGATAATTAGGCATGTTTCTAGTTTTTTAAAAATTCTTAACAGTCATGTAGGAGAATAAGAGAAACTTTTTCCAAAAAAGAGAAATCATTTTGATTATTTTATCTCATTGGAATGTTGAATAATATAGTCTGCTTCATTAATCATCAAGCATGCTATGAATTTTTCCATTTTTTATAGGATTTGTATCTCAATTGAGGTAATGTCATTTATACTCCATTTAAAGATGAAAAATAAAGGCCAAAATCATAGGCCTGGCATAGAAGCTGATAATGAGGACAGCTCCGGAGGAACAGGTATATACACACACACATAGACATGCATAAGGTATACACACACATTATTTTTAAAGTTTATTTTTTGAAGTTTTTAAAGTGAAAGCTGGTCCTGTCCCTCCCCACAGTGGGCGAAGACAGAGGTTGCATGGTCAGCTTTGCTTGTGAGGCCACTGGTCCCTCTGGATGCTGCTGCCTGGCCACAGCCCTTTCCCTTTCATCTTTCTCATTGACCAATGGGCTTAAAGCATTAAGACCACACCCCTATTCTGCATTCTAGTGTGACCCAGATTACACCTCTTCTGGCTCAGTCAAACAGCTGTATGGTAGGCAACTGGAGGTGTTCAGCAGTCGTTGCCAGGATCATACTGATGTGGCCACAATTTCGCCTCTTTCCCTGCCCTTCGATGTCCAAAGAAACCTGACAGCAAATTGGCTACAACCAACAAAAAGGTAAAATGCACCACATTGTGGCCCCCCCCCAACCCAGGCTCAGGCCCCCTCCAATGGCAGGACTGCTGCCAGAGTCTGTGCCACTCCTGAGACACACTGGGCTAGGCCCCTCAGTGCCTCTGGGCTCCACCCACCAAAATCTTGTCAGCCAGCCCTGCCCCCTCAGCAGCCTAGCTCCTGTCCTCACCAGTTGCCCCAGGGTGACTTTGGGTGGGTGACTCCTCGGGCTCCCTGCTCCATACTCAGTTCTCACTTCCTGCCGCCCCAAGCCTGACCTCCCTGGGGTCTTTGGGCTCACATCTCCAAGGACCTGGGTCCTGGCCCTGCACCCCCTCCCCCATCTTGAAGTAGTGACTCAGGCATCACGCCAATCTCCCACCACCCCAGTGAGGAGTGAAACATAGTGACCTCACAGTCTCTCTAGGAACTATTAGTACTGCCACGAGACCAGCCTTTGATCTTAGGACCCAGTCCCCTAAGTGTTCTCACCCTCTTTCTGGTTCCTCTGGTCGCAGCATAAGTTTCCAGCTGGAAGGGGAATGGGAACTATGGGACCTAGGAGCAAGAGGTTTCAGGCTGCCTTACTCCCTTAACATAGACATTGGCAGGGTGAAAAGCCCACACTTCCCATGTGAGTTCAAAACATTGACAGTGTCTTTGGGTGGCAATAGAAGAATGAGTTTGGTTTGGTTTTCTCCCAGGCTTCTACTCTCCAGAGAGTTTAGCATTTTTTTTCTGAGTTCTCCACCTCATATTTGAATTCTCCATGGTTCTGGGACCAGAGTGCTCTTCAGTCAGTGGTCTCTGGAGTGCGATCTGCTCATCTTCTGTGGAACAGATCTTGGGAAACTTAATTTGATAGCTTGAATCTTCCTCATATCATCTCAACCTGGGGTACTTTGAGTGCCTGGGATTGTTGCCTCTCAGGGAAGTGCTAGCCTGACTGGTTGTCAGGAGCCCTGTGTTTCTGCCCTGACTCAGTTCTTAATTTGCTCTTTGATTCTGGACAAGCTGCCTCTCCTCCTTGGGCTTGCATTTCTTGAGGAGATAGAGTTAGAGAATATCAAAGGCCTTTGTTAACTCTGAGAGTCGAAGGTTTAAAGGCCCACTTGAATGTAAACCTCAAGGCCAAGGGCTCCTGTCTTTTTCCATCTTACATCCCTGCGATTAATAAACATACCTGGCCGGTATGTGCTGAGTAAACGTTTGTTGAATGAATGCACCTTTCTAAATCACAAGCTGGCAGAAGGGTGGGCTTTTCTCAAACTTCATCTGTAGAGGTTTATGTTACTGTCCCTTTGAGAGAATCCAGATTCAGACTTTCAGTCCTGTGGCTATGGGCCAAAACAAACAAAGACCCAAATCCCCTTTCTTTGGGAGCTTGAGGAGAGTTTACCAGTTCATATTTCCATTGGGTCTGAGAACTTTGCCTTTAAAATCCATTCCTGGCCCCTGCCTACCCCTTCCTGGTTTGGGGAATAGAGTCAAGGGGCCACCCTCAGTCCTCTTCCTTTGACTCTCCCCACAGGAAAAAACAGAACCAAGAAATTGTGGATCAGTTGGAAGAATTAACTCTTTGCTCACAACTTGACTGCTGGGTTTGGGGGGCACCCAGACTGCTGAATTTTGTAAAGGCCTCAGTTTCATCTTGCTCACTCCCAGCCTGGGGAAGAAGGCTCACCCCCAGATTCCACCCCATCCCCATAAGTTCCCTGATAACTTGGTCCCGTGGGTGGAACTACCCTAGGGCATTGTTAGCTTTCTGGGGGCATGTTCCTTGCTGTGCCATCTCTGCCTCCCCCAGTAAGAGCTCTATCTTCCTCTTCCTATAGGAAAAGAAAGAATGCCACCAAAAGCAGGGAGCCCTAAGGGAGCAGTTACAGGTGAGTGGAGGGTGTGAATTTCCCTCTTGTCCTCTGGAGAACGTTTCTTTCCTCTTCTTTCAGCACTTGCTTGGCTTTTCTCCCAAAGGTGCACATTCAGACTGCAGGAAGCCTCGTATCAGAGAAAGCTCAGTTACAGACAGCCCTGGCTCACAGGCAGCATGCTTCCAGGCAGAAAGAAGGTGGGAATCTGGGCACCCCATCATCCTTCAACCTGGCACTTTGACAGGCCTTTAGGGGGAGTCCTTTGGGCTCCATCTTAACCTCTCTCATTCCAGGAGAGTCTGAAGATCTGGCCAGCAGCCTGCAGTATTCCTGGCAGCATGTGGGAGAGTTGGAGTGGGCTCTCTTTGCTTTCACCACACAGCAGAAGAAGGCAGACAGGGTGATTCCAACCACTTGCCCCGTCCGCTGGCAGCCTGGCTTCTCAGATGGAGGAGTGAGCCTAAAGGTCCCTTCTGCAGGATGGAGTGTCCTGCCCAGAAGGCAGCATGGGCCATTTCTCGCTGCTTTTCTGTGTGTTTGTTAGAGGCAGCCTAACAAACCCTGCTGTGTTTGAGTCAGCTGCTGTGGGTGAGTTGGGGGTGCTATGGGGAACAAGCACTGGACACAGAGCTCCCAGGCCAAGTGCTTGCCCTGCCCTTACCTGGCTGTGGCCTTTGCCAAATCCTAGGTAGGGAATATGGTACTTGTACTGTGAAGGTACAGAAGAGTAGTTTAGTATGTTACCATTTGTGTAGAGAGAGGGAACGTGTGTGTGTGTACGTACATACATACTATCATAATACAGGTAAAACATGTCTGGAAGGATTAATAAAAAACTCGAGGGGAAGGAGAGCATTAGGATAAATAACTAATGCATACGGGCATAAAACCTAGATGACAGGTTGATAGGTGCAGCAAACCACCGTGGCACATGTATACCTATATAAAAATCTGCACATTCAGCACATATATCCCAGAACTTTAAGTAAAATAAAAAATAAATAAATAAAATAAAACACAAAAAACTCAGGAGAGAGAAACAGAGTGGCTGGGAGATATTTCCCTTCTGTACCGTCTGAGTTTTGGACTATATGAATGTATCATCCTTTTAAAAAGTGAACAAAAGATTAACTTTGTCCTTCCTATCTGTGCCCTCACCCCCAGTGAACAAATGGGCTTAGAGAATCAGATATACCTGGGTGTTCAAATCCCAGCTCTGCCTGAGTGATATTAGGCAAGCACTTTAGCTCTAATACTTTAATACTCCATGCTTTTCATCTACACCATAGAGGTAATAATAGTAGCTATCTCATGGTGGTTGTGAGGATTAAATGGGATTGTTAACATGGTGCCTGTTGAAGCACTCAATAAAGCTTCAAACAGTGGTTGTAGTAATGGTAAAACAATAGCAATATTATCTGATCTCTCTGGGCCTCTGTTAGTCAGCTATAAATTTGATCTCTTTCCCTGTCCCTTCCATGTTACTAACTTCTTTTGAAAACAAATGAGTCCATGTGCTTGGAAATGCCTTCAAAAAATGTCAAGTGTGATTTAGAGTGAGGAAGTGTTACTGTGGAATAGTTATTGTAGCTATTGTTACTGGTCGGCCAGCTGCTCCTCTGCCTGCTGTATCCTGACTTAATCTTTGGTCCGTATTTGCAGGACAACAAGGAGTTAACCAAAAAGAGAGATGCTCTCAGGCTGGAGTTATACAAGAACAGGTAGCATGGGGGAAGGTGGGATGGGAGGTCTGGGGGCCCTTAGCATGAGTGATATGCTGGGAGGTTGAGGGGGTACAGGTAATCATGGTGAAGTGGTCATACAGGTTTGCACGCATGCACAGCTAAGCTCTAGTGCTGGTGACTCATGGTGTGGCCTTGGGCAACTCATGTTTTCTTTCTGGCCTGCCAACTGTGACTTTTGATTCCTGGGGTTCCTTCCAGTGCCATGGTTCTGTGGTTGTAGGGCAAGGGTAGAGGGTTGATCACCAAAGCAGTCCTTTCTGTTCTTCGTTCATTGCTTTCTCTACTGCCTCTGGCCATAACCAAAGCAATAAGGACCTGAAGCAGGAGAAATCAGAATTGGAAAAGAAGCTTTGAGTCCTAGTGACTGAGAAGGCTGGCATGCAGCTTAACTTGGAAAAGCTGCAAAAGAAATTACAGGTGACTGAACTCCTGCTTCAACAGGCGATTGGCTGCAGCCCTGGGGGGGTATTGGTTGGAGCCCCATTCACCTGGGGCTATGGTCTAGGGATCATGCAGGGTATGGGGAGGCTCCAGCCAAGAGTTGGAAAATTTGGGTCTTTGTTCTGGTCCTGCCATAGAATCCTCTAGAAACTGCTAAAAATCTACAAATTGGGGCCCTGCCATAGACCTGGGGAATCAGAATCTTAGGGTTAGGGCTTAAAAACATTTTTTTCTTTTTTAAGCATCATGGATGGAAACCATTACTTTATAGGTTACATTAATATGGCTAGTTATTGAGTCTGTTTATTTTCTTCTGATCAAGCCAACACTTTCACTATTCCATGGTAATAATAGAGAATCGAGATCTTTTTTTGTGGGGGGATGTGTCTCGCTCTGTCACTGAGGCTGGAGTGCAGTGGTGTGATCTCGGCTCATTGCAGCCTCTACTCAAGTGATCCTCCTGCCTCAGCTTCTCAAGTAACTGGGACTACAGGTGCACACCACCACGCCTGGCTAATTTTTGTATTTGTAGAGATGGGGCTTTGCCATGTTGCCCAGGCTGGTCTTGAACTCCTGAGCTCAAGTGATCCACCTGCCTCAGCATCCCAAAGTGTTGGGATTCAGGCAGGAGCCACCACATCCAGCCTGAGATCTTTTTCAAATTATTTAATTTTTTTATTCCTAAACCAAAGAAACTTGACAATAGAGTTGTATTGACTGAGTTGTACATTGAGCCTAGCCCTAGCCCTTTTAGGGGGCACTGTGTGGAATGGCATGGGCTCCCCAGATCTAAACTTCTTGCTCTTCACCATCCAGTTTTCAAACTGGTGTGAAGCCCCTGATGCTAACCAGCAGTTACAGCAGGCCACGGAGGAGTGGGCACAGCTGGAAGCATACCTGGGGCAGGTGAGGCTTTGCAGGGGAGGGATGTGGAAGGAAGATGACCCCAGGTGGCCAGGAGCTGGTGAGGACCAGTGACAGTCCTTCCTAACTTCTGTGCCCATTCTTGCAGGTAATAGAGTCAGTTAGATAATTACAAATGGAGAGAGACAAGTATGCTGAAAATCTGAAAGAAGAGAGTGCCATGTGGCGGCAGAAGATATAGCAGATGTCAGAGCAGGTGAGACCTGACCCTTCAGCCCCCCACTTTAGATAGGTCACTCGATCTTTCTTGGCATCTATAAAATGGGAGGACTACAGCCAGAGCTTGTCATGGGTCTGGGCTGTGTGGAGGTGGGGTCAGAGACGGAGATGGTAGCCTGTCCAGCCAGCCACCAGCTCCTCTCTTCAGGGCCCTTTCCCCTGTACTTTGGACAGGTGCACACATTGAGGGAGGAGAGCGTGAGTCAGGTACAGGAGCTAGAGATGAGCTTGGCTGAACTGAGGAACCAGATGGGTAAGCTGGGGCTGGGATGGCCCAGCAGCAGTACTGGTGTTAGAGGGCTGGAAGAGTGGCTTAGAATGCCCCAGGAAGGTGGTGGATGGAGGGCTTTGGGATAGAGGGAAAGAGGTCTGTGCCAGGAGATGGCAAGTCTGGTAATCTCCATGAACCTCAGTGTCCTCATCAGCAAAGAGGGAGGAGTGCCCATTGTCAGCCACCCACAGATGTCT